GGGGTAGCAGCTTCAGTAGGGAGGCCCAGACGTCCCTCTCCAAAGCTCATGACTATAGATGAGGGTAGGAACGTAGATCGACCTGTAAAGCGAGAGCTTTGCTTTTTGGCTTGGCTCTCTCTTCACCACAACAGACCGGTACAGGGCCCGCTTCACAGCAGACGCCGCACCAATCCGCCTGTCGATCTCCCGCTCCATCTTCCCCTCATTCATGAACAAGACCCCAAGATACTTAAACTCCTCCACTAGGGGCAGTACGTCCTCCCCAACCTAAAGAAAGCACTCTACCCTTTTCCGGCTCAACACCATGGTCTCTGATTTGGAGGCACTTATTCTCATCCCGGCCGCTTCACACTCGGCTGTGAACTGCTCCAGTGAGAGCTGTAGATCACGGCCCGATGAGGCCAATAGAACCACATCATCTGCGAATAACAGAGATGCAATCCTAAGGCCACCAAAACAGATCCCCTCAACACCTTGGCTGCGCCTAGAAATTCTGCCTATGAAGGTATGAACAGAATCGGTGACAAAGGGCAAACTTGGCAGAGTCCAACCCTCACCGGAAACGAGTCAGACTGCGGACCAGGCTCTGACAACGGTCATACAGCGACCTAGCAGCCCTTATTAAAGAGCCCTCTATGCCGTAATCCCAGAGTACCCCCCACAGGACCCCCAGATAGACACGGTTGAATGCCTTCTCCAGATCCAAACACATGTAGACTGGTCGGGCAAACTCCCATGCACCATCCTGGATCCTGCTGAGTAGAGCTGATCCAGTGTTCCATGGCCTTAACATTTCTATTTTCTTTTTTTTTATTATTTAATATCCCTAAGACATAAAGGTACGTACAGAGCGCTTTAAAGTTGACAACAAACAACGTTTCTAAGCTGCCTGCAGTTTGGGATTCATAAGTCCTGTGCCTTTTATAGGGATACTGAGACAAACTGATCATTTGTGATGGATTATCTCCTTCAGTCTTCTCTAGAACATCAAATATGTAGGATGAGGCATTAGATGGGATGTGTTAATGCTTCCAGGGAAAAACCTGACTGGATGATTTAAGTTCCGCTTCTTGTTCCAAACCTTGGCACTGGAGCCACTTTGTGGAAAGTCTAAAAGATTTGCTCCCTTTAAAGAGCAGTGAGCTTCTGCATCATTTGTAACAAAGATTAAAATTTTAAAAAAGAACTGATGAAACATCATATAGACTAGAGACCAGATCTGTCTGCCCTCTGCACTGATAGAAGGTTGGAGGCCAAGTCGGAGCCAGATGAAGCTCTAGTTGCTCTCACAGGCTACACTAAAAATCACATCTTACATCTTTTATTACCCTGTAGCCTGGAGACCCTCAGTTTTACAGGCCCCACTCTACATTTTAGTTTTCCTTGTTTGTTTTTAGGGTGTAGTACATGGTGGTTTACTGCTACATGATTTCTATTTTTCCTTTCATCTTTTTTTTTATTTAAGTATATCCTTCACTGTAATGTCAGTAGTTATCTGAGCTTTGGCTCAACTTAATCTGATGAACTATTTATAAACATAAATAATTTTGGTTTGTCTTTATTCTCATCTGGCTTCTGTATGATCTAGATCTATCTGACTTTTTCTCTCCATCACTACTTTTCCTCCAGGACCTTTACTGTCCGCATGGAGAAAAGACACCTTTACCAACACTAAACAGTTCGTAGTTTATTAAATGTTTCAAACATCGTTCTTTGTTTTGAATGTGCATAGTTTGAAGCCTGACAGCTTGGTTAGCCACATTCCAATGTGACTTCCCTCATATCGTATCACCAACCACAGTTTGCTCTGAGGACCTTTGAAAAACCCTCAAGTTGATATTATCTATATTCATACATATATCCCAGACATTTCGGTCTACATCTGTTTTTCTGCTTTACAATTAAATCCAGGTTGTTCTTTTCATTTTCTGCACATATTCCACTGAAATAGAATGCAAGCTATTAAGATTGAAGTTGAGTTACAAATATTTTATTTACATTTTTTTATTTTACGGCACTAGTGGCTCGATTTTTATTTTTCTTCATTTTTTTGGACAGTAGGCCGACTGGATGGTGGGTATGAGAGAGGGGGAGAGACATGCGGCAAAGGACCACAGGTCGGATTCAACCTGTGTCGGCCGTGTCGATGCCTCAGGCCTCCATACATGGGTCGTGTGCGCTAACCACTGCGCCACCGAAGATTTATTTTTTAACGATGTCTGAAACGTTTCCTCTTCTTGGTCTCCAGATTCGACATGAGGTCAGCTTTAAAAATGTGACCCATAAGATCTGCAGCGACACATGTTTCAACGTTTACCGTAAAGCCAACGGGTTGATCATGAACTGCTGTGAGCAGTGTGGCGACTACCTGCCCAGTCGGGCTTCAGCCAACCACTTCCTGCTGGTCGATGGCCAGCAGAAACGCTTCTGCTGCCAGAACTGCATCAGGGATTACAAACAGGTAAGAACAGAAACCCCTACTGTACATGCAGCTTTTTTTTTTTTTTTCTATTGGATCTTTATGCTTTGAGTCACTTATGTTGGTGTTTAAAAGTGTTTTTTGTTTTGATGCAATGTTCTCCCAACCAGGCTCACAGTAAACTTGCAACCTGTATGACTTGCAAAACACTAATCAAGACAGGGGAAGTTCTCCAAACCCTTGGAGCAAACGGCACCATGAGCTCCTACTGCTCTGTGAGCTGCATGAACAAGGGCAAACTCACCTCATTGATCAGTGAGTAGTCAGATTACAGTTATTGAAACAACACTTCAAATTAAACTAAATAATGTAATTAAAATGAAATTAAATATAATGAAAACGCACCTTATTTTTTTTTTTACCTATCTTCATTAACGGTTGAAGTAGCATATATGTGAATCCAAAAGTGAAGAAATTATGTTTTATTTTCTCTGTGCAGACAAAGAACCGACATGTGATTTCTGTAAAAGAAGCTCCTTGCCGCAGTACCAGGCCACGCTGCCAGAGGGCAGCATCCTGAACTTCTGCAGCTCACAATGTGTTACTAAGTTCCAGGTGAGAGCCGTCCTGTTGGCTTAAAACAGGGTTCCTGCGAATCCTTGAAGTCATAGGGAAATCATATTTAAATCTCAAATCATTCTGGCTTAAACATCTATATAAATCTACTCTTTTCTGAAAAAAAAAGTTCTGTTTAAAAAAAAAAAAAAATCCTATCTTAATCTGTTTCTGTTATTTTATGCAGGCCAGTTAGTTATACCTCAGCTTGTACACCTAAATTTAGCCAATCATATATCAACGGTCATCTGTCACCACCAAATTTTTTCGGTTACAGCATCTTGATTCATATGTCGCAGCTAATATACGTAACGGTTGAAATGAGAAATAAGAACCATTTCCTTTACCACGGAGTTCCGTCCCAGTGTTCACTGGGATGGACATCTGTGTCTTCATCAGGCGTAGAACTAACAGCACTGGCAGCGTTGCGAGGCTGTAAGCCTTCTACAGCAAACCAAGCTTCTGCCGCCCTGGCGTCCTCTTCCACAACGTCCTCTTCTCCGCTTTCCTCTTTTAAATAAAAAATGTATGATGGAAGAGACTCATCCAAGACGTCCGACACACAACTCTCCTCCTCTTGCATGTTTCCTCTGTCCATAGCGTTCCTTGACAGTGTCGTTTCTAAGTCCCCAATTTAGTGCTACTTGGTTCCAATGGAATTTCCCATTGGGAATCTACTAGCACTAAGTTGCTAACTGGTTAGCAAGATGCTTCCGACAAACCGGCCACAATCAAACCTGCTTGCGAACCTTCCGCCACAACAACTCCGCACTCTTGATAAACGACCGATAACATTCACTTTATTCACCCCTGTAAAGTCGGGTACCACTCAGGAGAATTTGGAAATGCAACCGTTGGATCAGCCGCTTCCCTACGACTTTAAAGGAAAGTTCAGTGGAAGGGAAAAGTGTTGCACCGGAGACTAGACAGTTGGAGCTTTGGAGGACTGTGAATTTATACCGTGTTCAATCCGCTGCAGTGCAAAGCCCAGAGGAGCTTCAAGAAGCAAATGCAGATGATGCAATAAAAAAGGTGATACATACAAAAGTCAGACAAAATAACCCATTCTAAAGATTATAAAGTGTTTTTTATCTTCCGTTGGCTATTTTCACTGTTCATATTTTAGAGAAGCTATATTTGCTGCTTATATGCTTTATTTCAAAAGCATGTTTTTCACCATATTAACAAGATTTAGTTCATTGAATGACTTTCATTTGAAAAAGTTGAACTTCTGCCCTTCTGTTTCTCACTCAATGCCTTTCTTAGCAGAATGCTTCCCTTCAAACAACCACTAACGGTCAGATGCCCCTCAGCAACAGCTCTGTCCAGCTGAAATGCAACTACTGCCGAGGAGCGTTCAGCCTGAAGCCTGAGATTCTGGAGTGGCAGGTCAGACCACCGAGAAACATCAAGAGATAAAACTCTGAAGCTGTCAGAGTACCTGAACTATTGGCAGAAATCATTATCTATCAGCAGAGCAACAAAAATAACACATATATATATATATATAATTCCTTGCTTTTATTTATTGTACAATTACAATGAATATTATTTTTTTACTGCAGAATAGCTTTAATACCAGTTGTCTAAAGATGTAAAAAATTGTTTGCTCTTTGATTACAGAAAAAAAACGAATCTTGTCTTGAAAGAGATGCAGTAATTATAAAAATGAATGTTTATTTTCAGGATAAGGTCTATCAGTTCTGCAGTAAGACTTGCTGCGAGGATTATAAGAAGCTCCACTGCATTGTGACGCTTTGTGAGTACTGCCAAGAAGAGAAGACCCTTCATGAGATGGTCAAGTTCTCTGGTGTTAAGAGGCCGTTCTGCAGTGAAGGTACAAACCCTCTTCAACTCAAGGACTCTTAAGAAATGTAACCTTTCCTTGAGAGGCTTGAAGTAGCTAGAATAGGAATATTTGAGTGGGATTATCTATGCTCCTTTCTCTTCATTTAAGGTTGAGTTAGATGCTTGAAATTGTTTCTCTGTCCTTTTCCTTCTGGCTGGGAGTTAATTTTAAGGTTTCTCTTCATTTCGCCAGGCTGTAAGCTGCTGTTTAAACAGGATTTTATCAGACGTCTGGGGCTGAAGTGTGTGAGCTGCAACCACTGCAACCAGCTTTGTAAGAGAGGCATCACGCGGCAGCTGGGGGGCTTGACCCGGGACTTCTGCAGCGAGGCTTGTGCTAAGAAGTTCAATGACTGGTACTACAAGGTGGGCTCCTAGTTATTAGTAATTTTATTAGTAAAAAAAATATGTGCGTGTGTGTATATATATATATATACTTATTTGTTTAGGAAAAACTTGGCATTAATGATCAGAAATGTTCCTCTCTTGGCCACCAGGCGGCGAGATGCGACTGCTGCAAAGTGCAGGGAAACCTGACTGAGTCTGTGATGTGGAGATCAGAGATGAAGCATTTCTGTGACCAAGAGTGTCTGTTGAGGTTCTACTGTCAGCAGAACGATCCCATCATGGTCACACAGAAGGGACCAGAGAACACCACTCTAGGTAAAGATGGCGTCTCTTTGTTTATATCCAGACATGCTGTATGCTAGGTACTACTGTAGTAGCTGCTGCTGCTGGAAGGATCTTGATGAGGTAAAGGTGTAACCCAGGTCTTCTTTTTCCCCTTTCATAGGTATAGACGTACAAGCAGCAAAAACTGGGGTAAGGTTCAAATATTACCTCTTAATTTGTTAGAGGACGTATGACAGCTGGAACCTTTTCCAGATGTAGATTAACTTCTGTTTTATGTACGTGCAGCTGGTGAATCAGAGTGCCGTCACATACTCCAGTGGGGGGGTGATTAGAGATGTGAAGAATAAGGCGGTGCTCTGCAAACCGCTGACCCTGACCAAAGCCACCTACTGCAAACCACACATGCAGAGCAAACATCTACAGACAGGTAAAAGAAACCACAGTGTTGAACCTTATCCACATTTGCTCCACTTAACAACCAAAACTCGTTTTGTTGTGGTTTTAATGTTATAGACCAGATTAAGTCATAATGGTGACACATGGGTGAAATAACCAGGCATTAATGTTTGCAGTTATTTTAATCTGATTCTGCCAAATAATGCAACATTTTCATTAGAGGTAAATACATTAAATACAGCCGTAGAATTATGTTACTGACCCCCCAAAAAAACAAACACTGGACAGATTAGGCATAAAGTTGCAGAGAAGCTGAAGGTGAAGCTGAATTATAAAATTATATCACAAGCTTAAAATATCTCCCACAAAGAAAATGCAGACCTCCAAGCATTAGGAAGAAGGTGCTCTGATCAGATGATGCCAAAATGACACATATGCAAAATGTTAATGTGGAGAAAAAATCTGAATCCAGATTTAAATCCAGATAGCATTGATTTATTTCCAGTAACATTGCAAAGAAGAAATAAAAAACATTTTTTTAATTACCTTTTAAGCAAGATGAATTGTCTCAATTTGTGAATTCCAATATCTTCTGAAAATGCATCTTGCCAGGAGCCAACAGATGCGTTTGCCTTGAAATGTTTCAGACCAACGACATGCAGTGTATGACATCAACTCCTCAACCAGAGGCAAAAGGTTGACCCTAAAAAAGATGGCAGCACTAGTTGTAGGTTGAATACTTGCTATTTTTTTTTTGAAAAATGATTTATGCTTTTGTGATTGGAAGATGTTTGCATGTTCCACTCGACCAGATTTGGTAAGAGTTAGATTTATTATAGGGATGCACGATATAAGCGGCCCCATATCGGTATCTGCCTGTATCGGCCTTAAAACTGAATATCGGACATCGGCCACCCCACCGATTTTTAACCTGATATTTGATCAGCTTCTGAGTTTCTAAAGTCTAAAAAAAAATAAAATACTACTTCTTTTTCTTCCTCAAAAACTTCTTCTTTACAGATTTAAAAACTTCTAAAGACGAGGGAAAAAATATTGATACAGTAAAATATCACAATATCTTCCTATGCTGATATATTGCCATTTAAAAACACCATATCAATCTCTTTTACTAATGAAATATTGCTATATGTCAT